ATTATCAAAAAAAATTTTATTTAAATATTTTAAATTTTAAAAAAAGTAAATTATAAACAAATTTATAGCAATTTTTCAGACAAATTTGCCTGGAATTGTTTATAGTTTAAGGGATAATAAGATATTTGTATTCTAATTTGTTAATTGCTAAAATAGCTAATCATATATTAACTATAGATCATATAACAAGGCATGCCTTTTGGTTAAAGGGTATGCCTCCAACCCTACTCAAAATAAGATAAATGTAAAAATGGACCTTTTTAATACAGAGCACTCCATATTTGCTTGTATAATCTGCAGACATATAAACAAAAGTCACCTGAACTTTGAAGATTATTTGTGAAAGTTCAACTAGACTAATTTTTGATAATTTTATCACCATTATAAGCATCTTTACCTAGAGAATAACTTTACTTGGAAGCAGAAAGTAGGCTTGCTTAGTAAAAAAAATTGGATATGACATACTTAGAAGGTGCTTATTTTCATATATTATACAAAATTTGGTGATTAATTGTGGGCGTCTAATTTCAGAACTAAATACTATACTAGTCACCCGATTTGTTATGCAAATCATAGGATAAATTTTTTATTATAAAATTTAAGTAATTGATATCCATATTATAGGCCTATTTTTAATAGTAAATTGCAACAGTTACCTACTTTTGACTACTAATTTTAAGGGTTTCTTAAAAGGAAACCCTATTTAAGGAATGAAGTAAAGAGAGAGAAATTTTTTTTTTTTTTTTTTTTTTTGGTATTAAGGTGATCTCTTTGGTCTGGGGAACTTTTTATTAGAGTATAGACGAAGTTTTATATGTAATTACAACGATGGTACATCAAGCCACACGTGCACCTTTTGAGTATCTATTTAAGTAGTCCACCCGAAGGTTCTACTCTATCTGCCATACCTGCACCCCAACTAGAGGGGTACCCATTTTAAACCATCTAGTTCTAACTACTTCCATCAGCCCTCTAATCCAATGGGTTTCCTCACTATTCATATGCTAGATTTTGGTATCACCCAATATAGATTTCGCACCCTACCTTAGAACACTTAACTATCCTCGAGGTAAATCTAACACAGTGGTACATGTCCTACATATGTATTCACGTGCTTGTTCCTATAACTTCTTCCTAATTAGTACATATTGGCCTGCCGTTTCGTATTTGTATCTCACACCACCTTTTGGGGTACTGCCATTCTATGGACGTTTCTCAAGCACCAACCTTCCTAACTAGGCACCTATTACGTACTCCTTGCCCTTGTTTTGGTTCTTAGCAACCCCAGTACCTCACATTTAGACCATCTTCTTACCCGGATTCTTTACCAGTCCCTCCCTTACTTCTAGCCGGCAACCCGGAAGGGTTGGTCTGTCTAGGCTTTAGGTGCCTGAAGGATGCCCTCCTCTTGGTCTATACATTCAGAGTATATGTCCTTTTCCTCCAGTGCGACAACCCGGCAGTTCAGCTGGTGTATCCTCTGCCATTAGGACCTGGTCGCTCGGTTCTCAGATCTCGGGCCCTGGTTCGAATTCAGCCCTCCTATGGTACCGTCATAGATCACTACTACCTCCAAACTTGGGACTTGCCAAATGGGTTTTCGGTTATTCTGGTTCCTTGGATTTATTGTGCCAAAGCTCCTATAACTAGATGGTATGACCGGGATTATAGATTTCTAGATTCAACTGATAATCGACAACCGTAAACCATAACACAAGCTATTTTTCAAAATTCGTCGTCTGTGGGATTTGAACTCTAGACCTGCTACTTGGAGAGGGTGATGACTAGACCACTACACTAGGTCGCCACACCTCTTAAAGAGAGAGAAATTTTATGCTATTAGCATATTTAAAGTAAGATAAGAAACAAACTTGAATAGGATTCGGTCTTCAAAGATCGCTTGTTGTTTTACATTTGTATATTAATAAAAATGACAAAGTAGGTATATGATCTTATTTTAACTGTTCTATGATAAGCCAAAGTTCTTAATAAAAGGTTTAATATATGAATCTATTATATTATTAAACCTTTTTATAAAAAACTAATAAAACTTTAAAACTTTCAATTGCAGGCAATAAAAATTGATTGAGTCAAATAAATTAATGTGGTTTGATTATGAGGTAGTTCAAAAATTTTTATTCAGAAGTGATTTTATTGCAACAATTAAAGTTGGTATAGTTATGTATCAAAGTTCAAATATGTATGGGGTTGAACTACTTTATATCAGGTTAAACTATATAATGTTTATTATTGGAATTTATAATAAATAAATAAATATATAAATAATCAAATATTTATTAAATATAATAAATGTTAATTTAAATACTTGTAAAAATGGATTGAATAAATATTTTGTTAAATACATGTCATTTGGGAAGCCTTTTGAAAAATAAAAATACTGCAAACTCTCTAAATTCGATAATCTATCAAATTTGATAAAAAAAGTAGTTTACCAAGTTCATTTCCGTTATATAAATCTAATAGTTTATGTTTTCAAATCTGATAACCTCACAATACTGATACAAAATCTGTCTATTATGCATATCATTGTGGGAGTTTCAACAGGTTATAAATAAAGACTCGGCTTCATATCTAAGTTATACAACTATTATATATCAATATGATGGCTCAAATATTTTTTTGAATGTAAAAAATTAGGTTCTACTACAAAATCCCAACATTCAAATCTGACACTAAAAATTCAGACATTCAAAATCATGATATAAGTTACTCTTCTTATAATGAAGTGTTTGGGCCATGAAATTTTCTTCACTATATCAAGTATCTATTAGTAAATTTATTATATTGAGAGGATTTTTATATAAACTAATCTTTGTCATAATGAGTAATTCACTATAATGAAAGTGACTTGTAGTACAAAATCCTGACATCCAAATCTGATGCTCAAAATTCTGACATTCAAAATCCCAATAGTACAAATTCAGACAAGTTAAACCTCAACAATACTAAAATCTTGACATAAAAATCCTGCTAGTACAAAATCCCGACAGTACAAAATCCCACACAATAAACCTCAAAATTCTGAAAATACAATATTTTTAGAATTTTGAAAGTCAGAATTTTGTGTTGAAAAGAGTTAAAAAAGAGTGCTCCTGGTGAGTTAGGTAGAATTTTGGTATTGTTTAGATTTAATGTATTGAGATTTTGTACTAGCAGAATTTTTGTATAGAGATTTTGGTATTGTTGGGGTTTAACTTGTCAGAATTTGAGTGTCAGATTTGGATGTCGAAATTTTGTGGTAGAACCAAAAAAATAGTTATAAAAGCAGCCTCAATCTTCTAGTCGATCAATTCAATACAAATTATTATCATAACTATAATAACCAGAAAACAAAAATTAATATTAGTTCTATTTAAATTATTTAATAAAAACTTAAAATTATGGAAAACTCTTTACAAACCTTAATCGATCTTAAAGATTATCCTATTGATGAAGCTTCATTAGATCTTGATGAAGAGATTAGTAATGACTACATAGAAGATGATTCATTTGATTTTGATGACTTTAATTAGGAATTTAGCATGGGTGCTGAAGAAGCAGCATCATGTAGCAGTGTTATCACTGGAATTCTGGAATCCTGCTGGAAGTCCAGAATCTTTCAGCCTTCCAGTGGTTCTAATAGGATTTTCTACTAGAAGAATTTTTCAACTAGAACCAGTATAAGATTAGTCAATAAAAATGCAAACAACATTAACCAATAAAACGCATATATTTTATGTGATTTTAATATGTATTATAAAAGCTTTTCGCTAGTAGTAATATTGTAATATACAAAAACTCAGATTGATCAAATCAGCGTAACCAAAAAAGAATAACTAATCGGTAAACAATTAATAATAAATTTATAATTTCTAGTGTTCTTTTATTTTTATAATAATATCATTAATCTGTTACAACTTGTTATATCGTAGTTACTACCAGCATATTCTTTCCAAGATCTGAACCAGAATGTGTTATATGAATTCAGAGGTTTTTTTTTTTCTTTTTTTTTTTTTTGCTTGATTTTTAAATAACTGTATAATTCGTATAATTATAAGAGGTAAAGTTTTAAGATTTATTTTGACGCAGCTTGCAGATATTTGTTAAATTTAGATATGAAAGAGGCTTTAAGCATTGCTGCCAGAACAATAGATTAATTAGTATAAATATCAATGTGATCATGCATAAAGAGATAAAAGCACACAAAAAAAAGCAGAAAGCATTCAAAAACAAAAAACTTACCTATCATTAATCATATAATCTGGTTTTTAAAATTGTATACTGAATATATCACATAATTTCCATTTTGCTTTATCATCTACTGCTAGATGCCTGTAATTACTTAACAAATCACCTTCCATATTATTTTGATAACTATCTTACTATTCCTCTTCTTTCTCTAGTTTAGCAATCTCCTTGTCTATTAGCATTTCCTCTCAGTCATGTAGTTGATTTTCCCAATCTTCAATACTTGATAACTCATTATACAATTTGGTGTCTTTATTCGTATCTCAATTTGCCTATCTGTAGATTTATTTGTAGTTTCACCAATAGGTAATGCACTGAATTGGTTGAACATGGTATCACAGGTATGAATTTGTTTTTTTACTTAAGAAAAGTTAATTAAAGTATGAATTTGACTCATAGCCAATACTTTTTCATTTTATTTTTTTTTTAAAAAAAAAAATATAAGCTAATTTTAAAACAAAGAATTAAAAAAAAAATCTTATATTAAGATGGCAATGGCAGTTAGTTTGAAAAAATCCCATTGAACTCCATAGTCATTCTACAGATGCTGCATTAACATATATTCTGAATAAGTATTTAGCCAATGGTTCTAATTCTCTAGTTGAAAAAGAAGCGAATTTCCAAAATTCCAGTGCATTATTTTCAAATTGTTCATATATTGCAATGTCAAAAGAATATTTACATTTTCTATATTCTTCTAATTCAAGTAAGATACAAGTTGGTCAGTGTCCAAACCATGCTTTGTAATAATAAGTAACGAATTGAGCTAGATAGGTAAAGTTTAAGTTTTCATTATTACTATTAAACCATGTAATGTAAATATTTGGATATAAAAGAAAAGATAATAATAATAATAGCTGTTCCTATTGTCTCCATCTTTGTTTTAACTGCAGGATCATATATTGGGCTAAATTGTAATCTGAATACTCCTTCCACATTCTTAATGTTCTACCAAAAGCTTGTAATATATTATAAAAACATGCAGTATCTGACTGTAATTTGTTAAGGGCTCCACAATAAGGGAGAAGCAAAGAATGTAATTGTATTATTGATTGCCAAAAATTGTCATTAAGTAGAGTTGCTATTATTGGCTGTGGAAGATAAAGTTCACCTAAACTATTTGAAGGTTGATCTAATTCTTCATTGCTAGAGTCACATGTTGATATTTCAAAAGGTAATTCAAACTTAGTAGCTAAATTCTTGAAAATTTTGATATGTAAGTTATTTAGTTAGATACTTGTCTATATTAATATGTTATAAGTACTAACTCTTAAAGCTTGATGGGATTTTATTATGCTCTTAAAACAATAACAATACGAATTTCAATGGGTATTATCTGGACAAATTAATGTAATATATTTCGAATATATTTGTTTTTGTATATCTTGAAGCTTTCCAATAAAATATAAATAAAGCAAAGTATTAAAATAGCTAACTATTTTTATTGATTGTTTTATTGCAAGTTTAAATTCTGCAGATTCTTTGAAAATTTCTCCTATAGTTAAATTGCACTGATGAGCGAAACAAGGAATAAACACTATTTCTGGATATTGTAACTGTAGTCAATGTTTATTGAAATAATTAAGAGTATATTGCAAATTATTATTTTGTTATATTTTATTGAAATTTTTATTTATTTATTTTTTATTTTTTATTTATTTATTTTTTATTTATTATTAATTTATTTATTTTTTATTTTTTTATCTAATTACCTTGCAGCAGAATATGCTGGTGCACTATCAGAGACAATTGCTAATAATTTTGCCTCTAAACTTGACACATCTTGGATCATATTCTTAATCTTAGGAATAACATTGATCATTTTCTCTTTCTCTAAACTAGTATCAATTGCTTCCCAAACCTGAACCTCCCTAGTTAATACAGTAAAATAAATAATAAACCAAAAATATGTTGTTTTAGAATATTTTTCTATTAATCAAATGCCAAGGTAACTCTATTTTTATCTTCCTTTAGTTTTTGCTCTCGTGATTTAATATAATTTGTTCTCTCAGCTTCAAGGATACAATTGGATAATAAATACCAACTAGGAAGAGTAAGCACTAGATTCAAGAATTCAAAAAGTTCCTTAGTCTCTGGATTTGTTATCCAATTAAACACCTATCCATTTGATATTGTCATCCAAAGCAACAATCGTTCAAATTTCGGTCTGTCTTTTATGCTAATATCTTTGATAATGAAGTTAGACATAGTTTTAAAATTTGATACTTTTTTTCTTAGTTTTTTAATTGATGTAGGCGTTGTTGAAGAAACACCAGATATTATATCACTTGTGCAATTATCATCATTATTGTTATCATCTATTTTTTTTAAAAAAAAAAATTATTTAAATGCTAATTTACAAATTTTAGATATTTACAAACTACCTGATAAATTAGCATTTTTATACTTTTTTAAAGTTTTTTTGGGCCTTTTCTGCTTCATTGTTTATTTTATTATAATATTCATCTACTACCTCTTGAGAGCCAAGCTTGGTATGAAAATGTTCACATGTTTTTAAGTGATTTCGAACAACATTTTTCTTATTGGTGATTGGGTCTTCTAAAGTTTTTTTCTGGCCAAGAACTTCATCACAAGCTTTACATATACAATTAGTATTATATTTGTTTGTAGTTTTTACACTAAGTACAATAATATCATTTGTAAATCTATGTTTTTTGGGACCACCAGTATGCCTTTGAGCCATTTTATCCAAATTTTAATTAGAATATACCAAAATTAATACTAGTCAACGAGTCATTAGTGTCATTTATAAAATGACTCTAGAGCCGAGTCTTACTCAAGAAGACCAGATTACTTTTGAATAGAGAATTCTAGTTTTTTAGATAGAGATGTTTGAATTTTATGTTTTATTTGTTAATGATATATGAAGAATATATCAAGTTTGTTAGAAAGGAAATATAGAAGTAAGATTCAATATTCCTTGGAATTATATACTTTATTGCTTACTAGATTATTCTAATTCTCCAAAGATTGTTTATTTTTTTATATGCAATGTATACAATTATATTTTCCAAACAAATTATTTGCATTGCAGAGAAGAAATTTTTTATATTCATAGCTTTTCTAGCAACATGTCACTTAAGATCACATTATTGCACATAATACAATAACTAATTGGGTAAGTGAGTATTGCATAATATATATGCAGTTTGGTTTTAACCATTGATTTGCATAGATTGAATATTATTACATTTCTCATAAACACAGCACAAGCAAGACTTGAGTGTTCATTATAACTAGGACTTAACAGAGAAAGATCATCATGAGATTAGGTTTTATTCTTTATTAAAATATATACTTATATTTTTTTTACATATTTCTTTTTGAATCTATTTACTATACTACTATTGTTAATCAAAGATACGTATTATACCAGAATTACACCAATATACCACTTTATACAACTTGCATCATAATCACAATTAGAATTCAGTTTAATAATACCTTTCTAAGTAGTTGCTGACTAAAATAATCATATTCACGAGCACTTGAAACAATATTTAAATTTGCAATAATATTTTAGGTAAAATAAATGTCAAAATTAGTATTATGAAGGGTGCTAATCAGAAGGTAGGTATTTCATTGTATTATATTATCGATTATTTAGGCCAAAGAGATGTAACAGATTTCTTGCCATATTTCATTGAAATTTCTGGGATCGAAGTATAGAGATTGTATCTATCAAGAAATTTTCTACCTTGATATTATTAAATTATCTGGTTATCCAGGTAATTTATTATATCCATATATTAAAATATCTACCTGGGTACAATCTCTATTGAAGCAAATCACATTAAAATAATAAAATTTCAAGTTTAACATATACTTACGAAGCAAACCTGCTTAAAATTAATTTTTTTTAATAAAAAAAATTTTTTCTCTATTTTTATTTAATTCCCGATATCTTATTTACATATGACAACTATTATGTACATATATGTTCTGCATATAATCAATTTCTAAAATTTGTTACTATCAACAATTACAATGCTGTAAAGCAAAAAATAAGGTTTTGTAATACCTAAATGCAGAGATAGATACAAATCCAGATATAGTAATTTTTGTTCTAATCAAAAAAATATCACTATAAGTTACTGGAAACCACTGAAAGTTACTGGAACTCCTTCCAGTAACTTAAAAATCCTCACTAGAAGGGTCTAGTAACAACATACCCTTGAAAGATAATATATTACTTTTTTCTTCCAGTTAGTTCTAGTGATTTTCCAGTTCTAGTAATTTTCACTGGAACATTCAAATAGATAACACTGATGTGGTGAAGTTTTCACATTCAACTAGTATTTATTAGAAAACTTACAAGAAAAAATAACTAGATCTATTGAAGAATTGGATGAACTCTCAGAAAATGATCATGAATTTTTTAAAAGTGATAATGAGATAGAAGAATTAGAAGAGGAATTTGAAATGCTGATACCTCTTCCTTCTGATGATGATATTGATTTCAAATGTTGTACTATTATTAATAATAATGATGATCCAAACATAATTCAAAGATGCAATAACATGGCCAATCTTAGTATAGTTCAATTAACTGGTACTTGGAAAATTGATACTTATGCTATTTAAGAAGTTGGTAATAATTTCTCAAAATTAAAGATTTGTTCTAGCCATCTTAACTATGACCAAAAAAATATACATAAAGGTCTAAAATCTAAATTGTTATTACAAAATAATATGATAAACTTACATCATTGT